GTTCCTGGGCCTGGTGTGTGTGGCTGCCAGGCTGAAGGACCCCTACAGCATCCTCGGGCTCCAGAAGAAGGCCGAGGGACAGGAGATCAAGAAAGCTTATAAGAAACTGGCCAAGTTGTGGTAAGGATTGAAGGGTGGTCTGTGGTGTTCCTGCCTTTGGATGCAAGTTCTGTATTTTATTCTGCTTTTCTGCTTTTATATATTGCTTTTTTTTTATTTAGTTATTTTACTTTGGTGAGGTTATAATGGAAGGGTTCTTTTTGGACTCGTTTAATGTATAGAATGAGGAGTAGGAGCAAGAAAATGTCTTAAAATATTGAGGTTTGGAAATGGCAGAACCTCAGGATTCTAATGTTTGGGATTTTTTTGAGGTCTTAGTTAATGTCATTATCAATGTTTTTTTTTTTTGTTTTATGTTGGGGGAAATTAAGAGCACATAGATGTATTTTTCCCTCCCTTTTTTTTATTTTTTTAAAGTTATTGATTGAGGTTCTCTGGTTATATATGTGGAAGTAGGTACAATAATTTCCATTCTTGACCCATGTTATATACTTTTATGTTATTTTAAGGTGTGGCTTCAAGTAATTTCTAGAAAATACTATTATGTTCTTGAGGATATTGTTTCTCATACTTCGATATTATTGATAATGTCGGGAAACTGTCTTTTATATGTGAAGTTTAACTCTGTGGCTGTAATTTAATTTATGATGTTGAATAAGCCTTAGAGCACACTGGGAAAAAAATGCCTCTAGATCTCGGTATTCGTTAACGAGAGCGATGCGCCTTCCAGAGACAAATTTTGCAAAACCAGATTATTTATGTATATTTTCCTCTGCTCTGTGGTTTATACGCACATGCCAAAACGTTGGGGGGTATCGTGCGAACTCAAAATTCGAAGCCTAACTTTTCCTACTTTATATTTTTTTCCTATTTTCCTTTATTAGTACTTTTGTGCCAGCATATAGAAAATTGCGACTTTGAGTACTCTGGCAGTGATGTGGACTTAGTCTCCGAGCGGTGATAAGCATCAGATATTTTCATTTCGCTGTAAATTTTAGGCCGCAGCAGCAAAAGTGTTGTCTAAGGCTATTTCTTATGCTTTGTAAGATGGCAGTGTCCATTTCTCTCTCTCTCTGTGCTTCGCCCTCGGTAACATTAACCTAGATCTTTTAAATGTGGATAGGAATGAATAGAAATATAATGCGGAGATTGCTTTGTGTATGCATGGCACAAGCGAACAGTTAAATTAGATTGGCTTATGTATGTAATTGCAATATTTTTTTCATTTCTGTTGTATAGTTAGTTTATGTAGACTAGGTTAGTCTACATGTTTAAAAGAAGCCAAAATTTGCACTCTGAATGATTTTTTTTAACTTATTGTTTTTTATTATTTATTTATGTTTTATGTTTTTTTTTTTTTTTTTTTGCAAATATTTTGGCTGCGTTTTGTCAAAGTCTGTATGAAACTTGCCGTGATCTGTAATGAATGACCTATGGTCTGCAGTTTATCACAGTGGTAGATTAGTTCCAAGTAATTGATATGACCTCTTTGCTTTGCACTCTGAAAAAAAAAAGCTAATAAATTATCACATTGCTTATATTCAAGTCAGATTGGGCTTAATTGATTTCTTGCTTATCTAATAAAAATTGTCAGGAGATCAACAAGCGCTTAGCTTACGAGATTACAGATGGCTTTTGCTGGAGCCCGACAAGAAACTGTGCCGATCCATGCAAGGCCTCAGAGCAGGCAGGCACATGGTTGTCTTCTAAACATTTACCACCTCTTTTTCATAGTCATTAAAGTAAATTCCTCCTTATTTAAGTAGAGACAAATATGAGGCATTTTCAGATGGTACTCTACAAAATAACTTTATTTTCACTAATCCATATCTTAATCCAGTCAGGCGAAGAGTAGTGGCAGTTTTAGGGGCTTGTAGATAGCTTGGATTGGATATGAGAGATCTATAGCTTTGTAGTACAGTATTGAGTATTGCTACGTGTCTAGTGATTACTGTGGGATGTGGCCAAAAGGATGACTGCATTTATTGTAGTTAAATGGCGTGATATGACTTGGGAACATCCACTACAGTTTACCATTCTTTATGCATTTTGTTTGCATTCCATAAGTTTCTCATGGTTAGCTAGGGTAACTGTCATTAAATTTATCCTACTTTGCGATGACTGAGGATGTGGTGAGAACAATAATTTTTTTGAGAGCCATGCAGTAGTTATCTCCTGTGCCAACCACGCCACTTGCATCCCTTCTAGGTTTTGGCATTTTTAGTGATTGGTAATGTATGATAATTAGGCTTTTATAGAATAAGACCTCATATAGATAAAGAAATCCTAATGTAATGGTTATCAAGAACATATAAAAGTAAAAGTAGACCCAGTTATCTAATGAAATTCACAGTTTGTATGTTCTTGGTATAAACATCAAACAGAACCATAGATTCTCTGCAACAGGCTTGAGCAATGAAAAATATGATTCATTTTTTGATAGTGCAACTAGTGGTTAATCATTTTCATTTCAGAAATTGTACAGAAAATGTGAAAGCAATCCCTTACACCATTGCTTAGATTTGATCATTCAAATTTATGTAATGAGTATTGCTACATGTCGAGTGATTATAGTAGGATCTGCCCTACAGGATAAAAACAATTATTGTAGGAAAATGGCTTGATATGACTAGGGAACATCCACAACAGTTTGCCATTAATATTGATGTGTATTTTAGCAAGTGTTTCAGGTACTGCATACATTTTTCATATTTTTCAGTATTAGTTTAGTTTTTATTGATCTATGATAATTTAGTCATATGCAAATCAACTTAGGCCTATTTGAATAATCAAAATAGATACATATGGGACCACCGAAAAATTAATGAGTAAAAAGAAGCAAGTAATAAGTAAAGGAAAGCTGGTAGTCTTTAGTTTTTTTTTCTTTTCTTTTCTTTTCTTTTCTTTTTAATGCTAGAAAGGAATAAATCAAAAGCAATATTGGTAATTGTCTCATAAAAATACCATTCACATTTTGTTTTTGTTTTTTTGTTATTGTTATTGTTGTTGTTGTTTTTTTAAGAATAAATCATTGCAATCAAATTTAAAGGTGTGACAATACAAGCGGAAGGAAGCTGAATCCCCTCAAGCTAGAAGTTCGGAAGCCATAGGTGTGCCTCGGACAGCATTGACGTTAAACAATATATGCAATTCTGTGTAACAGTAGAGGAGAAAACTAATATTGAGGATACTGTTTTGTTTCCTTTTTTTCTCCTTCTTTTTCTTTTTCCTTTTCCCTTTTTCTTTTTTCTTTTTTCTTTTTTCTTTTTTCTTTTTTTCTTTTTTCTTTTTTCTTTTTTTTTTTTCTTTTTCTTTTTCTTTTTCTTTTTCTTTTTCTTTTTCTTTTCCTTTTTCCTTTTCCTTTTCCTTTTTCCTTTTCCTTTTCCTTTTCCTTTTCCTTTTCCTTTTCCTTTTCCTTTTCCTTTTCCTTTCCTTTTTCCTTTTCCTTTTTCCTTTTCCTTTTTCCTTTTCTTTTCTTTCCTTCTTTCTTATTTTTTGTTTTGTTTTATTGTTTTTTCTGTAATGTATGATAGATGGGACTAATATTCTGTAAGTTATTGAATGTTGTGATATGCATGTATATGTATGTAATATATATGTGTTTGTGTGTGTGTAGATATAGATATAGATATCAAAGTCAAAGTTGGTCCATGTGAACGTAGGGGACATATTCGCAGAGAAACATGCTTACTAAGCTGTGGGATGCTGCAGTAGGGTGGCCAGTTCCTTTCCGCCCTGACCTTGACCACAACATGCTGACGTCAGCATATCAGTACTCATTCACAGCTGAGTTGAATGAGAGGGATGGCGGTCGGGTGCAAACCCAGGACCTTGTGATTGCAAAGTCAGCACTCTACCACTGAGCTATGCCACCCTCCAGATATAGATATAGATGTATATAGTCACACACACACACACACACACACACACACACACACACACACACACACACACACACACACACACACACACACACACACACACACACACACACATGCATATACATATACATATACATATACATATACATATACATATACATATACATATATATACAGAGACAGAGAGACAGAGAGACAGAGAGACAGAGACAGAGACAGAGACAGAGAGACAGAGAGAGAGAGAGATCCTTTTTGATTTTTTATGTAACAAATTCAGCAATATCCATATCCCACTCCCAAAGATATTATAGATATTGCAATAACAAGATTTGCAACTATTAGTGCAGGTAGAAAATAAAGTTCTCGTTTTGGACTGAGTAAGCTGTGATCTGCTCAGCTTTAAAGGTGGGCGCTAGTAGTATGTAAATTTAGTGTCAATTAATGTTAAAAAGAGGAGTTGCATGCGTGGTGGTCCTTTAATTATTTTCTCTTTTCAATTCTAGGATTATCGGTTCACTAAATATACTATTATTTCTTTTGTATTTTCACTCTGTTGATGAAGATTTTTGATTCTTTGCTTATTTGCTTGAATGTAAACTGAGGGACTGAGCAGGTTTGTGTATCTTTATTAAGACGAAGCAGTTGAAGTGTCTGGCATGATTAGCTGAAGGAAATGGTATATTTATACACATATTTATATATATATACTTTTTTTTTTTCCTTCAGGCATCCAGATAAAAATGAATCGCCAGATGCAGAGAAGAAATTTATTGAAATCAATCAAGCTTATGAGGTAAGATAAAAAGTTATGGCTTCTGTCAGTTGTGTTGATGGAGGGAGGGAGGGAGGGAGGGAAGGGAGTAACAATATTTAATGTATTGTAAGAGATATGAAAAATATATCATGAAAGTATATCTCTTTTGATTAACTATTCATACAGCGCAGTATTATCTCGGGTGTGATAATTGTATCCCTTTGAATTATTTAAATTAAGTAATAATCATTTGCATTACATTGAATCTTCGTTACAGCTGCTGATGGACCCTGAGAGGAGGAGATTATACGACACGACGGGCCAGACGGAGGAGCAGCCGAACTTCCGCAAACAGCATGATTACTCTTCGTATAGACGATTCGATCCGTTTGACGATATATTCAGTAGTTTCGGCAGTGGTTTCCGATTCAATTTCAAACACGGAGATGGAATCAATATATTTAAAAAACAGTCTATTACATTCAAGTAAGTGATACTGCTCTATATAGGTATTTGCTCTATATGTTGATCTCTCTTTGTCATCGCTTTTCATAGATATCTCGTGTTCAGATTTGCAATATGTATAAACAATTTTTGTTTTCAATATCTGTATTACAAGTAACCCACAATAATTATTATTACACATATTTACAACGTCTGTATTTCAGGTCTTACCAAAACTCGATAATCCTCCTCAGCAAGAAACAGCCGTACCTGATACTCTTTTATTCTGACTGGTGCTTAGCCTGCGCACACATAGAACCAATTTGGCGGAGATTATATGAAGAATTGGAGCCCATTAATTTCGGCATGGCTACAGTATGTAGTGTTTGAGTTATTATTATTTTTTTTTTCTTTTCTTTTCTTTTCTTTCATGAATGTTTGGTAGTAATTTGTCTTTTTTTTCTTATCGTTGTTTATTGAGATGATGATGTTAATTAGTTAACTCTTAAGTCAAATATTGTCATGTATATTATATATATATATTTTTTTTTAAGTATATGAACTATTTGTGACAGTGTAGTCATATTAGGATGAATAAGCTGAGAAATATTGAATTTAAGACTATATGCTCATTTTTTTCATAGTGTATTTGATGACTTTTATTTGTATTTATCTTCACATACTTCAGGAGAAGGCAAAATATTACCTAGTAAGAATAACTATCATTATAGAACTAAGCACCTGATAACTACTTTTGTTTTACAAGTGATAACCTTACTAAACTTCTGACAGGTTCATGCAGGCCATGAGACAGAACTGGCCAGAAAAATAGGTGTTAAAACAGTGCCATACCTCATTATGCTTCTTGATGGTCATCCCTACCATTATACAGAACCATCACTTAGTATGGTATCGTCCTTAGGTCAGTTGTGAAGAGAATTTACAAAATGTTAAAAAGAGTTATATCGTTAAAGGTATCTGTAGTACTATATATACGTGTATATTTTTTTTTAATGTTAAGTTTACTGTTAATGCTTTGATTCTGATTTTTTTCTCAGTTTGGTTAGGGTCGTTTTGAGAATATTATTATTACAGCAGCTAATTAAGTTTCAATTTTCTTTATCATTGTTAAATATGATGTCTGTTGTGCCATTTCTAAATGATACTAATTAACATGATATTACTTGCTTTCTTACTTCAGATTTTATACGAAGCAAATTCCCCCATAAGTTAGTGCAGCGCATAACAGAAGAGAATCTCGAAACGTTCCTGAATGGATGGATGGATAATAAGGTTAGTATACGTGGCTCCTTTCCTTTGTACCTCTTGCCTTCACCTTTTTCCAGCTTGGGAACCGTTAAACAGTGTTATTTTTTTTGTGTTAAGCTTCCCATAATGCTGAACTTGAACATCTGCCTGGAACTTTCTTTTTATCTGTATATTTTCCCAAAAGTTCAATGATTTCTTTAAAAGTTAGTGATTTCAAGCCAAGATATTTTACATATAACAGAAGATGAATGCTTTGCTAGCATCTAGTTAACTATATCTAGTAAACAGGTATATTTTCTTTCATAAAATTGTATTAGACCCTACTGCAGTTTGGAGTCTCAGTATTGTTTGTTTTTGAGATTAATATTGCATTAAAAAAGAAATTTTTGATGTGCACACTTTGAATATTTGTCTAAAAAGCCTTTCACTTGAAGAATTGCTGGAAATAACTTTTTTTCATCACCTTATTGCATTGTATGGGTTTCAGTTCACATTTGAAGGACTTTTTAAACTCTTTTTTTTCCTCATTTTCTGTTAATAATCTTTTAGGTCCGAGTGTTGATATTTGGCCGTTTAGACATCATCAGACTGCGGTACCTAACAGTCGGATGGGAGTTTAGAGAGCGCGCAGTAATCGGGTAAGTGGGAGAAGAATTACTTGAGTGTAAAATTCAGATACTTTATGTAACAGAAGAGAAGAAGATAATATATATTTTGTTCCTTATCCCAATAATGCTAGGAAATGTTTGTGTTCACTTTGGTACTGTTTTATGAATTATGTCTACACAGGTGGCTCCACAAGTGCTTAGAGATGAAAGAGCCAGTTTGTAGACTTTGTGACTTCACCTAATTTCTTCTTCTTCTTCTTCTTCTTCTTCTTCTTCTTAATAATGATAATGATAATAATGATCATAATAATAATAATATTGATAATAATAATAATAATAATGCTATCAATATCAATGCTGTTATTGGTATTATAATGTTATTGATATTACTAAGAGTAGTATAGGATAATCAAAAAAATACCCAAAAATTAAGGAAAAGGATAAATAGGTGAGATTGGTAGTATTAGTAACTAGCTCATTGGTGACTAAATACTTGTGGTGCCACCTATGTGTAGAGCTGGCCGAATAAGTTTGTGGCCATCATAAGATTATCAAGCTGGGCTTTTATCTGGTAACAGTGCTCAGGTATAATAGTATAAATCTATTTGATGAATAGATAATGTTAAAGGAAGTTCTTAGGAAATTCTGTCCTTCGTATTTTAGTATTTGAAAGGAAATGCACAAGAAAGCATATAAAAAGACTGACTTTCTAAAGGATAAAATGTTCTAAAATATTTATACTGTTAATGAAAATAAGTAAATAAGATAAATACAGAAATGCGTAAATATATGATATGATTGTCTTTTGACTACAGTTAATTTTCCATTTCAGTAATATTTACATGTTGATTACCATTTAATCTAAATGTTTGTTTGTCCAAAAAACAAAAACAAATGTTTCTTATAAGATTATTAGCTCTTCGTTCAGTTATGAAACAGTTGTTAATATGTATGATTATATTTCATGTAATTTTTATAATACCAGTTGCTACCAGGTGCTATTTTCATGTCCATCAGTTAGCTGCAGCCCTAATTTACCCTAAATTACTATTGATGCATTAATATTATGGAAGAGGAAGGGAAAAATATTGGTAGACTTGTCACTGTGTGACAATTTATTTACAATTTATAATTTTTTTAAAATTATTTTAAGTAAGTATAGTTGTGAGAGTGTCAACCTGTTGGCAGGAAAGTATTGTATCATCTCTTGTTCAAAAATGTTGGGGCCCAATTATGTTACAAATTAATTTGTATGGATAATATTTACTCTGTTCTTGAGAATTATCGCATCAACACAGGAATCAGTAAATGATATGCAAATGGAAAGGCAAATATAGGCAACAGACAGATGGTTATATTATTTATTTTTCTTTTTTTTCTGTGATATATATTTAATTTTATAAATTACATGGAAGCATTTATCCTTTAATGAGTTTAATGCATGTAAGCTGTAGGCAGTATAGCAAAGTGATGACATTGACATTCAATTAAGAAATGAAGACAGAAGACATATACTACCTCAAGCATTTTATTTTAGAAATTAAGATATGAATGGCAAAGTTTCTGTAGACTTTTTTAACATTGTTTATTTAACAACAACCAGATTAAATCCCAATTCGATAACCATAGGGTGGCATGAATATATTTGACCAGCTGCATATACAGTTGATAAACTAAGCTCACAGTGGGCATGGCATGTACTTACATGCCTTCCCCAGAAGCATTGGGTTAGGAAGCTTGTATATATGTAATGGTTCAAGATTAAACTGTAAAGGATATCCTTTTTTCTAAATAGTGCTAAAAGTAAAGTAACAAACAGTTGTTCAGCAAAAACATTTAGCAATAAAAGAGCTAATAATAAACTAAAAAAAAAATTGCAGGTATGTTCAGATGGACCGTGCAGACACAGACAGCATTCGCACGCGTTTCAGCGTATCCAACAAAGTGGACACGCTTTTGGTATTCCACGAGGATATGCATGCTCCTGTTGCTTCTGCTGCCATGACTGACCTGCCATATCCTACGATGAAGGACATTATTGAAGGGAACAAATTCCTGGTCCTGCCTCGTCTCTCTTCCCAGGTGTGTGACTTGCAGGTTAAGTCTGAGGGCTGTTGATTTATGTATTGGAATGTTTGGTTCTGTTATGGATTTGTTGTATTTATGTTTATTCATTCTGTATTTAAATATTCTATATGATTATTGTTATTTTATTATTATTATTATTATTATTATTTATTTATTTATTTATTTATTTATTTTTTATTTTTTTTTTGTTGATGTTGTTGAAGGATATTTATTGTTTTTCTCTTTCATTCTGTAGATTTTTAAATATATATTTTGTATATTAAGTAAGAACAAGAATAGTAGGTATAGATAAACAAGGAATAACTTATAGAAAGGTAATAATATCTATATCCTTCCAAAAGAAGAAGAATATATGGGACAATACAGTGTTTTTTTAAGATTAGAAAAAAAAACACAATGAAAAAGAAATATTATGAAATTTGAGTGAAGCACATTAAAAATCATCCTATTCCTTGGAAACCCTCTCACTAAGTTTAATATTTAAAGGCTGCCACTATGTGTATTTCTAATTATTTTGTCCTTCTATCTCCATGTGCATTAGTTATCCCATTTGTTTTGTTGTTGAAAACATTGTCCGTTTGATTTTTCATTTCTTTCCAATTAACTGAGTGGAGACTCTTGGAATCATGGGAACAACAGTGGCATCTGGCTTCTTAAAAAATGCCAATTGGAAAAGATAATAGCAACATATAACTTGGGAAAATTTTACTAATTTGCTATATTATTTTCATTACCCATATATAGAGATAATTCTTCTAGTATTTATTTTCTTTACCCTCTTCTTTCCCGTATATCATCATCTAATCTTCATAAGTAAGAATTTGCCATTAAATTTCTCTAAGTTTGAACAGTATTTTCACAAAATCTGTGAAAACCACTGTATTGAAAGAGAGGAAAACAGATTGTGAATGTTTAATTTGCAAATACAATGATCCTTTCAGTCTGTCTTTGACGCACTCTGCCCTGTGGAAAATGTGCGTTCTCGCCGTCGTTTGTGTGTGGTTCTAGTGACCCAGGATGACCCAGCTCACGACCCCAGTAGAGCAGCGCTGCGTGAATATGCCTCAGGTGACCAGGCCAGAGAGAGGGACCGTGTTCGTTACACTTACATCTTTAGAGAAAAGCAAGTGGAATTCATGAATGCTCTTACAGCAGGTAATGGTCCAGTTTTTTATGTATTTTCATTCAGGTTACTGGAAAGAGATTTAAATTTTTAATGATTTGTATTATGTCAGTATTGAATAAATCTTTGTGTGTGTGTGTATAAATATACATATGTATATATGTATATATGACAGATCATTTGACAGTTGACAGGTTAGTGATAGTTATTTTAAATACAACAGTGTTATTCAGACATTCTACTTTAAATCAGTTATAATCTTTCATGTCCATATTTGCCTTGTTGGAAATTAATGAGTCTGGTGAGTTTACAGCTCCTTTTTACTTGTGGTCATTATGCGAAAGCTCTTTGCCTAATTGCTTTTGTTTGGTGCGCTACTCTAGGAATCCAAGACTCTGTGGAATCCCCAGCCCCTCTTGTGGCTGGGGGATATTCAGATTAGGGAGGCTTAGATATAGTAAGAGCAAGATCATCATTCCATAACAGACCAGTTAGGTATTTGTTGAGTAAAGGTTAATAGTTTGAGATTCTTAAATATGTAGGAGATGGTTGAGTAACCGATGATGCTTTTATTGACTATCAAGAGAACTTGCATCCACTAATTCACCTTTTAATATCTTGGATTATGATCAGGCTCAGGTTCGCCCGTTGAAACGAATCACCACATTGTCATTCTGTGGAGGAAGGACCAGAATCACCTGAAGTACGAGTGGCTGGAAGGGGGCTGGGAAGTGGAGCCCGAGAAGCATAACACATCAAGGGAAGTATTGAAGGAAACGGTGCAAAGATTACTTCATTCCAACCAGCCCATGACCTATGAAACTGTTGTGCAGGTAAGAAGCCTGTTGTTTACAGATTTCTTGGGGGAATGAAAACCATATTTGTTTGTGTATGTCTGTGTATGTGTGTCTGTTTTAAGCATCTTAAGTGTGGTCTGTCATTCAGAATTTGAAGGCCTTGGCTAGTTAATATGTGGTTACATTTTCAGTATGCAAGTTATATCAGGGTATTTAGATGTAACTCTTATGTTATATTAATAGAGAGGCAGTACGAGTGTGTTTTTAGGTTATGAGATTCCAATAAGTGCATTTTTTAATTGTAATTTTTATTTATCATACTGAATTTGCAAATATCAAGTCATAATCAATGAAGAAGAGGTCAAAGGAGAGAATAGAAAATGAAATGTTTATCTCTTTGTATCTATGTACTTATCAGTGTCTGTTTGTGTCTCGTTCGTTTTAATTTCACTGAATTCTATCTATATCTATTAACAATGACATTACAATTGCTAATAGTAATTGGTACGTTATTACGCATTAATATGTGCATATTTTACATTTTTGTGAAATGTGATATACTTGCATGTGATATTATAGACTAATGGAATACATTATGCTTTTGTTAACACTATCATGGAAATGCCATGAGCCAAATATTTATGACTTCAGTTTCAGTAGTGTAGCATTTTTTCTTAGCTTTTTAACCTGAGGATTGAAGGTAATATGTAACATTGATGTGCAATATTTGACATTGTTTGCTTAGCTTTTTTTTTTTACACTGAATGTGTTCTGAAACTAACCCAGCAGCTTTATTTAGAAGGTGATTGGTCCTTGATTAAATTTTATTATTTAAAAGGAGTTTGGGATTCATGGTAATCAAGAAATTCACTCGGGATTTTACTTCTTTAAGTCCGCGTTTTATAGAACTTGCATCTCGAATGAGGGTATGATTACGATTATTGAGACATTTTTCTTCTCTTGACAGATTTAAACAAAAGAAATGATAATTACAGTCTTTTTTCCATTAAATAGATTTCAAAATTGGAAGTAAATATTTTTTCTCTTTCTCTTTGTTTGGAAGGTAGCTTTGTTAAAGACAAGAATGACATTGTTTTTTATGTCATGACCCAATGAAATAATTATTTTCACACTAAAGCATGCTGGATACTAATTGAAAATTTGGTCTTATATAAAAGAAAGATGAGAGGGAAAACATAATTTTTTTTTTTATTAAATAAGGTACATAAATCTTTGAAATCCTTTCCCTTCAAGACATTGCTCTGTATTTCAGGAATTGTTTGATGAACATGCACAGGGCATTGTTTGGCGAATCATAAATAAACTAGTTTCAGTCCAAGATTATTTGAGGTAAGACTGAAAGTTATTATTGCTACTTTGAAAATTTGATTATTCTTTGATGATGTAGATTTAAATCTTTATGATGAGTTGTATTTGAGGGGAGAGAAAAGTTGGGATAGTAATGAATGTCATGTTTTAAGAGAAGAGTTTTCTAAAAATTTGTGATCACAAGAAGCCAGTTTTCTTTATTGTTTGGGAAGCATTTCTTTTGGTCCATTTTACTGATCATAAGATTTGTATTTTTTTTTTTCTTCTAATTATCAGTGCCAATTTCACCTTTGCTTGCTAATACAGAGCTATAGTATGGCTTCCATATGTCTGTGCTTATGACATTTTGTTTAATTTTCATACCCCAAAATATATTTTGTAATACACTTAATGTGTCATTTTTTCACAAAGATATCTGCTTTATGTTGCTTTAGACTCACCCCTTTGTGCATATTCTAGTTTATCGGTAATTTCTCTTAGATATCATATATTGTGTCAGAGCAATTGTGTGAGTACTCTGTTAACTAATACTTGTTCTTGCTTTGTAAAATTTCACAATCTCAACTTTCATTATAAGCATGCTAGTAAGCAAAGCAGAAAGTAAATATATCACAAACTCTTTTAATTAGATAAGTCAGCTTTGGTCAGATCAGAAAATCTTTTGATAACAATTTCCCAGGCTATAGTTCTTGGCATGCAGAATCAAATTTAACTATAGATTTGAAGTAAATTCTGTTGATGCTGAGCAAAAGTTATTTATTCATCTATCTGTGCATTTTTAGTTTTGAAAAAGACTTGTTTCTTATCCAAATGAATCTGGTTTATAAGGTTTGGGTCTTTTTTCTTTTATTTCAGAGATAACATAACGCAAGATGATATTGTACCAGCTGTGTCTATCTTCTTTACTGTACTATTTATAGTGGCAGGAGGATATGTAATGTCATACTTGGTGTGAGTATGTGTGATGTTCTGCCTTGTTTCTGTCTAAAAATGTATATTTGGAAGATGATGATTTTTTTCAGTAATAGTTCACATAATTTGTGTTTAAATAAGTAATACTTTAATTCTTTTGTGCAGGAAACTTGAGGAGGAGAGAATTTCTGGCTCACAGACTACCTTTGTGGATCAGAATGGTAAAATCACGCCTATACCTCAGCTGCGTATCCACGAACTGCGCGGGGAAACTTACAATGGTCTTATTCGCTTGTTGAAGCCAGGCTGTAGAACCATTGTGGTCCTGTGTGACCCAAAGACTAAGCCCAAACTGATGCCAAAATTCCACAAAGCCTGTTGGCCGTACAGGAAGTAAGTACCACCTCTTTACTGATCATATTATGTTTATACCTCATAGGCTGGTAGAGGATGTTTTTTCTCTTTTTTTTCTTTTCTTTTCTTTCTACACATGAATGCAAGTTATTGAATCCACTGGATCCAGTTGATGTGACCATCACCTTGTGGAAAAAATTGGATCGAGGATCAGGATGATGGGAATATGCCATCATGAGAAATTTAGACAAAGGCTGTAGTGACGGGAATGACTCGCCATGAGTGCACAAATTTCTTGTAGGAAGATCAGACTCACTGCACTCTTATATTATTTCCACTAGTAAATGAGGGTGTGTAGTAGATGGGTGGTTCTACTACATGTATGGTTAATCGTTTTATAGATTGATTGTGTGGGTTGAGTTCCCAGTGTGATGGCTGTGTGGTGCAGGTGAAGTGGAGTTCTAAAAGGGGGCCAGGTAGTCTGAGCAAAGGAAAGGGCTGTTCTGTGTTGCTGCAACTTGTTTGAAGTGTGTCTGAAGAATGATTGCAGACATCGCCATATTGTGGACCTTTTAGTGTGGCAGAATTGGGGAACGAGGGGAGCCTGCTTAAGTATTCATTCAGAGAACTGTGAGGTGTCTGGTGTCGACCAGTCAGGACTCAGCAATGAGTCGTGTGATTATACTTTAGGTGACCAACGAGGCTAATGGAAGTAGGCATGAGTTATGCAGGTTGTGGGTTGTGGCTGCTGCAAGTGGACTAAACCATCCATGAGTCATGCCAGGAAGAGTGCCAGCTCCAGGGAGGATCCTATTCTTGCCCACTGTGACTGGCAGCACGGGATGTGTTACAGATAATTGAATATGAAAACATTAAAAAATTGCATATATAACAATATTCTCTGTTGTTATTGTTATTGCACTGAGTTATAAACTACCTAGTGAGATGGTATGGAGTATGTGCAAGGGAAACAGTCTATTACCATCTTGATACAGCATATCAAATGACAGATATAGACCTTGGAAAAGGACTAAAAAAATGCTTATACAGTCAAGGAGTCATGATACCACAAATGGGTGTTCATGTGTACCAGGCCCAACTCTCCCAGGCCTGGGAGATGCCACTTAAGTAGGCCTATTGCAAAGCACCCAGAAGCAGTGGGTTAATTGATTAGATAATTTGTTCTGTTAAGTTTTGGAAATGTACCATAATTTATTGAGCTCAGGGCTGGCAGTTCTAAAAGATCCTAGAATTTGAGAAGTGTCTCAGTTTAAGCCATGTTTTAGTGTTAACACTTAACTAGAATTACCATTTACATTGTCAAACACCCTTTGATGATGATTCATAGTGATAGTAAGAATGAATATATAGTGAATCTGACATGTATTATAACTAGAATGTTGTACATTAAATATCTTTTGTATGTAAATGTACCATCTTCTACATGTCACCATATTAGCAAGTGGCACCATTTCTATTTCTCAAATAAAGGACTACAGTGAAACTGGAAGAATCAGACTAGAATCAGACAAGAATAGACTGGTGTGACATTTGCATTTGAGAGTAAATCAAATGGGTCCACCAAGTTTATTGATGTTAACTTCATCTTCAGCATGCAAGAAATTGCAAGAGAGTGTCTTGCAACCTATGATTCAGTGGAATAATTATCACAAGTTTTATATCTTCAGATTTTTTTCCCTTGCTTCCCTTGTAGTGCTCCTCTTCATTGTTATAATCAGATATGTTAAAACTATTCTAAATACAGTATTTATAAATGTATATTCTACCTCAACCATAGTTAACCACCACTGGGCCTCATATGCATTATTTGTTGTATGGGTCTCATATGGACAGTTTATAGACTATCCATCCACATGTCAGACAACTCCAAATTTGCCCTGCACTTTAAGAGAAAAATCAAGTGTCAAAGATTTATTATAGGTATTTAAAAGGTTGTATTTATCAAACAAAATTGATTAGAACAAAATGTTGAACGTTTATGAGCAGAGCGTGTCAGGATTTTTTATGACTATGCTGGCATCCAGTTTTTTATTCAGTAATAGCATTAGAACACAAGTGCTGTGTTGCACTTGTATAGTAAAATCCTCTCATTACACCTTTTTTCAGGCATATTTTGTAGATGTTGATTGAAGTTAAAACTAAATCTATTAATTGCTTGTTCTCCTTTCAGGAACAAAACCCTCATGTTTGCCTTCCTGAACATTGAGAGAGCATCTGCCATGGAGTGGTATAAACGCATATTGGTCTTAGGGCTTCCAGAACCCCGAGATTTAAACATTAATCCCAAAAACACCATTGGAACTGTGATTGCTCTCAATGGCCACAGGAAATATTACTGTCTGTACCATGCTAAGCATCCAGAGAGCATATTTGGGGTAAGATATAGTATTGTGTTTACTTTTTTGGTTTTCATTTACTGAAAGGTCAAAGAATAACAGATAAACTGCTGTAGATAATTTTACTGATATTTAATATAAACATCTGAACAACTAAAATTTTTTAGAACCATTCACTAAGAAGGAAGTGTAATATTTCCACTGCCTGCCAACAGCACTAAATATTTGCACTTCTGGTTCTTACTAATGAGAAAAGTACATTGTTAAGGTACCTTAGGTAGACTGCATGTCTTTTTGATGTTTATCTAGTTATTTATAATTTCATTAAATTGATTTTAGTGCACATGCATTCACTCAGCACCAATGAACGGAATTCGACTGTTTACATGGTATTAGATTAAATGTTTTTGCTTAATCTTCTGTTTTAAGAAATAAACATTCTGGACATGAAGAATACATATTTTAAACTAGATAGAAATTAAAGATAATCTACAATTTGCAGGCAAGAGTATATATAATACAACTAATTTCTTTACTGAAAGAAAATATTGATTTTTATTTATTTTTAAGCCACAGCAGTGTTTGTCTTTTGCTTTATTATCTTTGGACATTTAAAAAGGAAGGTGCAAGTGGACTGGTCTGTTCACCAACCATTAGTCTCGGTTGTGTTTTTTGTAGTTCGTTGTAGAAAATAAAAATGAGATTTTATTTTTGTGAAGACTAGCATTAGAATTAAGGGTATTGTATGTTATCTGTAGAAAAGTTTGTAAATGTATCCAATGCATTCTGTTTATTTTAGACTGCTCCAAGTCCTGGAGCACCGGAAACTGAAAACTTACGACGGAGAGTAAGTACAAGTGCAACTTTTTGGGAGTAATTGTTTAACCCTATGCCGCCGGGGAAAATGAATAAAAAATGGGGGAAATACTGTGCTCATTTTCTATATTTTTTGTGAAATGCCTCTGCACATAGATGGCTCTGCTAGTGCTTAGCCACAAAGGAGTCAATTAGTAGAACTTGTGACCTTACATGATTTGAATTGGCGGGAAAAATGTAATATCGATGTTTTTATTTTTATTATAAACATTATAATTACTATAACGTTATAAACATTAGTAACAGCTAAATAAGATAACGTAAAATGTTTTCGTAAATCAAAGAAAAGGGTAAACGGGCGAGATAGGTAGTACTTGTAATTGGCTCATTGGTGACTACTTTGTACAAGCCATCTATGTGTAAAAACAATCAAACAAGTAACTCACAGTGGGCATAGCATGTACATACATGTCATGCCCATCAGCATTGAGTTAAGTTATGGATACATAAGTGGATGGAAGGCTTGGGAGTAAACAAGGAATTATTATATATAAGTTTCTTCATAAACATGAAACATGTACTTTCTAGTTGCTAATAATTCGTAAGTATATGCTTGAGTGTACTATTTCAATTCTTCAGCTCCTTTTCCTCCTTCACTTCCTCCCTCTTTTGTTTGCTTAGATGTCTTGGAAGTGTTTGGAAAGGACACAGAAAGATTACATGTATTTGCAATATTATGAACATCTGTGAATATCCGTTTTATTTTTTGTAATTTATTTCATTACCTTTTTTCATTATTCTCTCTATTAGTTTCTGCTTCCTTTTTTTTTTTCTTTGTTTTCCCATTTTTCTCTCTTTTTTTTTTTTTAAGTTGGGTTTACCTTTCACTGTCTCAGGATGATAGCAATTGGTTCGTGACGAAAATATTTTAAATACTTTTTTTTTACACTGAATCAAAAAACTATAATATTCATGAGTGTTTGTTTGCCTTCACTGTTCCACATGTCCAACCCTCCCATTTATATTCTGCATATGTCTGTCTTCTTCTTTAACTCTGTCACAAGTCATCAACAAGAGATTTTCTTCAATGATTGCCCTGCCACCCACAGCATGGACATTCGAGCATCAGTGGCGACTTCATGGGCTTCAGCGACAATGATTCCGAGTCGGACTCTGATGTGGAGGCAGGAGATGCTAGGAAGGATTCTGTTGCATCAGATGTGAGTTTCTTGTTATCTTCTTTTGTGTTGTTGGTAGTGTTCTTTGTGAGAAGGAATCGTCAATTGTTAGCAAGAGTTGCCTATGTTGAGATTTGTGTGATTGGTTGGGTATAGTTGTGCAGTGTTTACCCTAGTTATATTTGTTTTTAATCAACCATTATTTTTCCTTATGGTTCACAATATTTTTAGAAAGTGATAATTTTTTAAACTCTTAAACTCTTCATTTACTGTATGATATATTATTCATTGTGGATAAACATTTAGATGTTCAGATTTGAACTGAAATCCATGTACAGTAATCCAATAAGTATTTTCTTATTGCTGAAACTTGACAATGAATCAAGCGCAATATAGAAAATGTGTGAGGAGTGGGTTACTTTTTTATTACACTGCATTATTATTTGTTTGAGCCATATTGATGTATAATTTTTTCACAATTTCCAGCAGCTCATATTAGCCCAAAAAATGCTATATTATGCATTCTTTTTTTCAGAAACCTTTACTCAATTACTACAGTAATATACTCTTTGAGGACCAACTTCTTGAAGATCTCAGTAACTGGTTGGATCGCCTCTTTGAAGGAACAACTCATCGTTACCACATCAATTACTGGCCAGATTGGCCTGGCAAATAAATATGCATATTGTGTATGACTGACTCTAGGGTTGTAAATCACTATTCATATATTGTGCTATAGTCCAGCTATATCCCAGAATATAAACATTATTATAGAATTAAGAGGAGAGATGTTACCAAAATATTATAACGTGAAAGGTTACTACTTTAAGTTTCCATTCTATCAGTGAAAGAAATGTTATGAGAATGAAGATAGGTATTAATTTCCTTTCATGACTGTGGAAGTAATCTTCTGTTAAAAGATCTGGATAACTCTTTATGATCTTTAGTATTAGGATCTGTGAATTACATTTTTTTTTCTTTTTCTTGTTTAAAAAAAATGTTGCATGTTCCAGTATGTGTCAAGTAAATACATATTGGCATTATACCCAATAATTCCCTGATATAATGTAGCTGCATATCTTGTTCTAATGGAAGATTTAGTGTTAAGAAATGAGGTCAAGGCACCAGACATTTTCATGAGGAATATGATGTTATTCCTTCTTACTCACACTGCCTAAATCTGCCTGAAACAGCATCTCATGAACACAATGATAATCAGAACTGAGATTCTCAAAAGGTCGTAATGCCCATACATTTATTTTTTCGTATTTAGTACCATAAATAAGGATGGGGACATTTTCAAAGCATTACTGATTAAATGTAGTTAAACTTTAATAAAATTACTTACATTGGATAATACTACATCGTCAATGTACAGGAAGAAAGGCTAACTTGTGGTGTATAATGATGTATGTTTTACATGATTAGAAAGTATTACAAGGTAAATGTGTTTAGAACTACTTGTATGCACATCAGGGTAATGATAAATTTTGTTTACTTAAGGTCACATAAAGGGGCTTTCAGAGGTCCATGCATTGATGTACAATGTACAGTACAGTTTTCCTAAAGTTTTAAAAATATAATTCACATTTGCCATAGAAGCAACTAAGTTTTATGTGGTGTACTCTTCACATATGCATTTTTATATTATAGTACTCTACATAGAAATTTGACTGTTCTATTTCTGGAGGTCACAGAGTTTGAGCTTTGTTTAAGTGTACAGTATTACGATATTTTGAAAAAAACAGGCACTGCTTATATGCTCATACCTGAAGTTTGTTGTACTAGTCATATGTTTTGTTCAGAACCGGGTAGTAGGTTTGCACTACACATTCTATCTCACACATTCATCTTTTCCCCATTTGCTCACTAAACCTCAATGTTCACAAGTTTGCAATCCAATTTTTAGTTTTTTGGTGGTAACATTTAGATGTTCAGATTTGAACTGAAATCCATGTACAGTAATCCAATAAGTATTTTCTTATTGCTGAAACTTGACAATGAATCAAGCGCAATATAGAAAATGTGTGAGGAGTGGGTTACTTTTTTATTACACTGCATTAATCTGCCTGAAACAGCATCTCATGAACACAATGATAATCAGAACTGAGATTCTCAAAAGGTCGTAATGCCCATACATTTATTTTTTCGTATTTAGTACCATAAATAAGGATGGGGACATTTTCAAAGCATTACTGATTAAATGTAGTTAAACTTTAATAAAATTACTTACATTGGATAATACTACATCGTCAATGTACAGGAAGAAAGGCTAACTTGTGGTGTATAATGATGTATGTTTTACATGATTAGAAAGTATTACAAGGTAAATGTGTTTAGAACTACTTGTATGCACATCAGGGTAATGATAAATTTTGTTTACTTAAGGTCACATAAAGGGGCTTTCAGAGGTCCATGCATTGATGTACAATGTACAGTACAGTTTTCCTAAAGTTTTAAAAATATAATTCACATTTGCCATAGAAGCAACTAAGTTTTATGTGGTGTACTCTTCACATATGCATTTTTATATTATAGTACTCTACATAGAAATTTGACTGTTCTATTTCTGGAGGTCACAGAGTTTGAGCTTTGTTTAAGTGTACAGTATTACGATATTTTGAAAAAAACAGGCACTGCTTATATGCTCATACCTGAAGTTTGTTGTACTAGTCATATGTTTTGTTCAGAACCGGGTAGTATGATGATAGCTTAACATAGCTTATATGGTTTTAAAACTAAATATTCAGCAGTTCCTCCTCCTCCTCATACTGTTCAATAGTAGGCAGATGTAAATATGCACGAAAGTATTTTTATTTTTTGTTCTTAGCAGACAGGTTTGCACTACACATTCTATCTCACACATTCATCTTTTCCCCATTTGCTCACTAAACCTCAATGTTCACAAGTTTGCAATCCAATTTTTAGTTTTTTGGTGTAACATGTATGTAAAAACAATATTGTCATTTATATTTATGATGTTCTTGAAATAAGTATTTGTAATTGTGATTCACAGGCTAAGAGTGTGGTTTTATGAAGAAAAAAAGATTTTTAAAAAATGTCAAGAAAAAAAAAATGTCCAAGAGGCAGTAAGCACACACAAATTTATCAACTTCAGCTTTGCTTACTCATTATAGTCATAGTTGTAGATTCAAATATAAAAAAAAACATATACTGTAGATATCACAGGATGAAGTGCATATGTAATAGGAAATGTGGACAGAGTAGTCATAGTAATGAATCTAAGATTGACTCTTTGAGTTAATCCTTCCATTATTTCATATGAAATGCAACATCTACATGGCATTATTATTTTTCTATTTTGTTGTACATTAAATAATATTTGCAGACTAATTTAGCATTGCCCTGGTTCATAAAACACTAAATGAATAACCTTATCAGGTTCTATTTCCTTCTCCATTTGAGTAATTGTGTGCCATAAATAAATTAGTAAGGCCCTGTCCACACAACAGGTAGTGCAAACATGGGTAAAACTGTTACCACATAGAATGGTTAGTGGGATTGAGTACTGATTGCATTACAAGCAGGACACATCATGCTCAAATCTAGGAACATACAGTGCTGCCAGATTTAAGGGATTCCAAGACACTTGTGTATGTCTGCTAGAAGGCACACTCATTTTTTGTCAAGAGTCAGACCAAGACAAGGCAGTCGAGGGCAAGATTCAGTTTTAGAGTACCTCGAGAATAGGCACAGCTATTATAATGGTTTGCCTGTGGTTTCTCACTAACGACTTCATCTGTGATTGTAATTTTGTAACTGTATGCGCCCACACAGCCACTCTCTCTCGTGTGGATGGGGCCTAAGCATAGTATGTAAGGAAAGTGTGATTTGAGAAATTGGCAGACAGGGAAAAGGAATCATTATTTATGTGAACTGCAAGTAGAAATGCCCCATTTCCTCGTTTATTGAATGCTCTTAGTATCAGATGAAATTCTCAATAGTTTCAATTTCTAAATGATAGAATTGCAGTGATAAAAACTGTATATACACATTTAGCCTTGCTCTATAATTAAATATTGTAGTCAGCAAAAAAAAAAGTTTTGTTTGTTCTGCCATATCTCAGAAATGTTAAATTCCATCAATACGAAGATGGTCATGTATAAAGATAACATTATGGAGAATTTTCAGTTATATACTGAATGTGTACTTGTATGTTTTTGCATGTTTATACCCTGTGTAGAACTAAACTGTTATAAACTTACCTTCTTAAAATTACATGCTTTAGTTTGAATGAAGTTATATTACAACAAAATTTGAAGGGGAAAACTTCTCTTAAGTTAATGTTTATCAGGTCTTCCCTTCAAATTATGCATTTGATAGATAATATATCAAAGAATATACAGGATTTCTGTATAAAGACATACAGTCTAGTCACTTTGTCAGCCAGACCTTTGAATATTAATAAACTCTTAAATCCTTACAAACAGTTTTATTTTAAGGATACAAAAACTCACAACACAGTTTATATATTTTTTTCTTTTTTCAATGACTTAGGACAGTGCTTTCTCAATCAGGCAACAAGTATTTTCCAATTGATCATTGAACAATCTCAATACTTGTGTTCAAATTGGATCCTATACACTATTTACAATGATACCATTATACCCATCCTCCCCACATGATGCAGACCATAAGTGAAAAACTAAATATTCTCCTTAAAAAATGGGGTAAGGGTCAGGTCTAATTTAGTGAACTAAATACAGAAGTAGTTTGGGTTGGATGGGCAATGGCGACAAAGGTACAAATATTCAATCACTATCATTATTTTACAATAACTTTATTACAAGGCCCCATGGGAGCAACCATTTTTAAACAAAGCAAAACGTAATTGGTAAGAATACCTCATATTAGTCCTCTAGACTAAAAACAGAAAAATAGGTACAGTGACCACCTACATCAAGGAAAACAAGGGAGAGGGAACAATTCAATAATAGTAAAGATGAACACGTCATTTCTTCTATGAAAGTGGAAACAAAAAGTACAAACAAGATTACAATGAGCTATTGGGAGAGTCCATGACACAGATTACATAAGCGTATAATTAGCTGTGTAACCATTGGAGGGGTAAAGCACAGCACATTCGAGAGAGGACCGACGAGTCTTGAGGCCATATTTTCCTCATGCAAATACACAATTCTTTTTTTTTGTTTTTGTTTTTAATTCTGACGTTCTATTACATGTTGCAAACTAATGAGCAAAGGATACAGATCAAGATTTGACACTTGTGTCTCCTTTATAAGACAAAGCATCAATATACAGTTATATATTAGAATGGGCAGCTAAGCATACACCAGCCTTCATGATGTCTAAGTTCTAACATCCCAGCTTCTACATCAAACTTGTCAATGTGGTTTAATGTTTACTGATAGCAGGATAATTTGTGATTATCGTAGTTACTACAAGACAAATTACCTGATTCTTACAAGCAGGTATGTTTGAATATTCCACTCCTATACATACTGATCATCTTACCACAAAATTTCCACTTTCAGAATCACTGGGTATATAAATGGTAATTAAGGATGATCTTTGGCAGTGCATACAATAAATTAATCATGTACCATAAATCTAGACTTTCGAAACTGTTTTATGATACACCCATGAAATACTAAAATAGATAACACTTTCAGTACAATAAAGAACATAAGTAATTCCCTTTTCATAACCAGAAAACAACTGCCTGTAACATTATTTCCATTCAAATAATCCAGATTGGATGGCACAATATAGGTCTTAATTTACCAACATAAGCCTTCAATGCCTAATACAAAGCAACAACAATTTCCTCTGATGCTTATTAAACAAAAACTTTTAATTAGGTTGAATGCATATAACACTTCCCAAAGAATAACTTTTTTCTCAATCATTCTCTCTCTGCTTCTACCACCGGTCTACATCTTAAACTATCTATCTCAACTGCTCATTCAAGCAACCTACACTACAGCCATTAATCGTCTTGACTAACCTATCTAGAACTAACCTTGCACACGCACTTGCTCGTTAAAATTATACAAAATAAAGAAAGAAAAAATATAGAAAAAAGAAACAAGTGAAGAACAATCACAGATTGCTGAGCCTTTGCTGAATCCTCATAACTCACGTGCAAACAACCTTGTGATTCTTCGTACCCCTTACCTTGCTAATGATATCTCAATCCTAATATATTTTTCAAGTTTAATTTAGCAGTTCCTCATGACATTGTTTTTTTTTTTCATATGTACTTTTTTTGTTTTTTGTTAATTTTTTTTTTATTTTTTATCATCATATCATTCTGATTGGTTCATACTCTTCAAAAAACAAAAAATCCAAATGACTAATACAATGATAAATTTAATAAACATTTCATCATGATCTATTCTAATTTTAATTTACCAGTGCATCTACATATGATCTTTATTTTTTCCCTTGAGGATGCATGCCCAACTGTACTTTTCACACACTTTATACAAGGCATCACTTAATCCAGAACATGTAGTATTGCATATATAAAGAAGCTTTCAATGCTTTTAAAGGTTCTTCCTATAGCCATATTAAATGCATTTATGAACATTCTTCTATACATTCCTTTATGAAGATTCAGTATTTCATATTTCTGTACACTTCATGTGCAATATTGTAAGTAGAATACATAAGTTCTAAACAACAAACTTTGCTTGTCCTTTTCTTTGGTTTTGGACTTATTTCTAGCTCTGCTTTGCCCATGCATTTTTTATGCCTTTTAAGTTCTTGAAGTTGGAATTTCCAAGTTATGCCACCATCAGTTGCGATGAATCTGCAGCACGCAT